AACCCCTCTGTGTTTTGCGTGGCGGTGGTGTGGTGGATTTTCTGATGATACCTTTTGGTGATACTTAAGTATTTGTAGATGAAACGTGTGGGAGTTGCTTCCAATAAATACACCAGGGACAGGGAGCGGGTGAGGGTGTAGTTGAAACCAGATCGGCCATGAACCGACCCCTGTTAAAGCTGAGTGCTGAGAGTTCATCACAGCTCCTTAGACTCTCCCGTCTACTCTTGTATTTGTTTCAATTTTCCTACTATAAAAAATTGCCCAAAGGAAGAAGGAAAGAAATGGGAAAAGGAAGAAAAAAGAGAAGAAACTCTTTATCTCAGTTTTCCAGACCAAAGACATCTGGGCCTCTCTCTCTCTCTCTCTCTCTCTCTCTCTCTCTCTCTCTCTCTCGCTCTCGCTCTCGCTCTCGCTCTCGCTCTCGCTCTCTCTCGCTCTCTCGCTCTCTCTCGCTCTCTCTCGCTCTCTCTCTCTCTCTCTCTCTCTCGCTCTCTCTCGCTCTCTCTCTCGCTCTCGCTCGCTCTCTCGCTCTCGCTCGCTCTCGCTCTCTCTCGCTCTCGCTCTCTCTCTCGCTCTCTCTCGCTCTCGCTCTCTCTCGCTCTCTCTCTCTCTCTCTCTCTCTCTCATAAACCCCATGCTGTGTCAGGAATCAGGATTCCCCCGCCCCGAGATGGGCCCCAGGGGTAAGAAAGGGTAAGAGCCTGGCCCCCGAGGGCTCCGTCCCATCTGGATTCCAATCCCAGCTCTTCCTCTCACCAGCTGTGGGGCATTAGGTAAGAGAGTTAATTTTCTAGAACTTCAGTTTCCTCATAAAAAAACAGACAAGAATTACCTGTTGCTGAGACTCGAGCAAGGCAACCTGGCCCGCTTTGAACAGTCCACCCACGCTGTGGCTCAGCTCTCCCTGGCTTTGAAAAGACCCTTGGTTTCTCTTTCTGAAGCATCCTTCAGAGGGGAGAGACTCCATTCAAGGAAGGTGCTAGAGCTGTGTTCACATTCCAGAAAAGCCCAAGTTCTACTCTTTGACCCAAAAGAATCCACAAGGCTGCAGCTGGCTTTGGCTTATCCCTGTCACCTGCCTCCTCAGAATGATTTTCTCAGTTGACCCTGGGCGCACCCCGGTTTACTTAAACCTGCTGGAAACCTCCTACCCAGAGGACCCCTGTTTGCTCTGAAAGGGCTTGAAATGTCAGTCTTATTTGTCGTTGATCTCAAAGTCCCACTTTTCATCTTTGGACAAGAAACCAAATTTATCACGTATTATCAAGTTACAGTCTCTGGTGTCAGCAGGTGAAGTGCGTTTCATTTTTCACAGGTCTCGTGGACCCCGTCGTACCTTTCCTGTGGCACCATTTGTAGAACTCACGGTTTCTGTGGTAGAATAATCAGCAGCTGAAAGAGGAATCACCGTATTGACGATGGTTCCGATAGGGCCTCCACCCTCTGCCCACGCTGCGCTGTGAACCGTCTCCGAAGTGCGGGAGCTTTTCGCCGTCCCCCTGGGGTCTCTGCAGGGTTTGGAATTGGGATTAACCATCTTTTGAAGTTTCTCTTGGACTCCTCAACGCATTTTCCTAGCTCCGCTCTCCCCGTTGCTTTACCTCTTCTGTGTCCTTCTCGTTGGTGCCTGATGTTCCTTCCAGATACTCAGTGCATTTATTCGTTTATAGCAAAAAGAATGTCTCGTGCCTCTTTCGTGTGCCAGGCCCTGCTCCAGGCACAGGGGACGTGGTGGTGAACACAGTCCCTGCCATAGACGCTCACGTGCCAGTGGCGGATGCAGATAATAACTGACTGAGGATCCAATTCGTGGTTGAAGAAGGGTCAGTGCAGAGACAGAAGGAACCCGGCCCATTGCAGGTCACGAAGGAGTTCCTGGAGGATGGGAAACTGATGCTGAGTTTTGGAGGATGAACAGGGATTAGACTGAGAGGGGCAGGAAAGACAGCATGGGTCCAGGCCGGGAGGCAGGAGGGTGCAGGGCACATTGGAAGAACCAAAGTCAGGATGGCCCGAGCACAGGACACCGTGTGGCTTCAGGGGTAGCAGGGGGCAGATGACACAGGGCCTTCAAATGCCATAAGGAGTGGGGATTTTAAGCCGTTGGACAGTTTTGAGCCAGGAAGCAGCCTGATCTGATTTCCATTCCAGCTCAATTGTGGGGAAAGGATTGGGTAAAGGGAGCGGCTGGTCAGTCCTTGCAGTGACCCAAGCAGGAGATGGTGGTGACTATGATGCCTGAGGCTGCTTCCATCGGACCGCAGGCTCCATGCGTAGAAACTCAAACCCGATGTATGGTTTCTCCTTCCCAGCCAGTTACCGCTCTTGATTTCGTTGTCCTGCTCTTCTCATAATCGCCCTGATTTGAAAATTCAGGGCCACTCATATGGGCCTCCCCTTGGGCCATCGCAGCCTCGGTCCAGAACGCGGGCCGTACAGGCAGCCTCTCAGCCCCACGCGCCGTCCCAGCCCCAATCCTGGCTGAGCGTCGGCAGCAGGACTTCTTCCTGAGCCACCACTCAGCCTGTCTTCTCCCCTTTCCTCAGAAACGCAGTCCTCCCGCTTGGCTTTAGGATAAGCCTGGGCTCCGGAGGGCCAGCAGTTGCCCCTGACGCTTCACCTCGGTCTGTCTGCTTCCCTCGTTTTCACTGTTTTTTAAGGGAAAAGGCTGCACAATATAAGCCTTTCCCCCAGCCAAGAAGCAGTGGGATTCCTGCCCAGGTGGAGCCTTTGGTCAGCCTGAAGATGTTTCTGGAGGCAGAAATGAATGAAAAGATGTGTTCTTCCGGCTCTGGCAAGAAGGTGGACTGAGAGAATGTTCATTCAACAGCCACGCACACCCCCACCGCCTTACTACAAGCATCTTGAAATGCTAGATGAAATATTACAACATCCCCTAGAGTGTTAACGGATGGCTGAATTTACAAGGAAGAAAGGAAATCCCAGATGAAAGAAATGGAGGGAGAGCCAGAGACCAGCACCTAAGTGAGGCCATCCATGGCCACAGTGACATAGAGCAGGGTCGGCAGATTCTGTGAAAGGCCAGCCAGTAAATGCGTTAGGCTTTGCAGACCCCAGACAGTGTGACACATCTCCTTTTTCTTTTTTGACAACCCGTTAAAAATACAAAAACCACTCTTAGCTCATGGGTTATATAAAGCAGGCCACAAGGGACTTCCCTGGTGGTGCAGTGGTTAAGAATCCGCCTGCCAATGCAGGGGACGTGGGTTTGAGCCCTGGTCCGGGAAGATCCCACATACCGCGGAGCCCGTGCGCCACAACTACTGAGGCTGCGTGCCACAACTACTGAAGCGTGCACGCCTAGAGCCCGTGCTCCGCAGCAAGAGAAGCCACTGCATATGAGAAGCCTGAGCACTGTGATGAAGAGTAGCCCCCGCTCGCTGCAACTAGAGAAGGCCCACGTGCAGCAACAAAGACCCAATGTAGCCCAAAATAAATATTTTTTAAAAAGAGGCACACTTGTGGCAAGGCTAGAGAAAAAAAATGGATGCACAAACAGGTGGTGTGAGAAATAAAAAGGACTGAGATACAGCATAGTGTTTAAATTATAGAATATAATGAACAATCTTATACCAGTACTTTTGGACACTCAGAAAAAATGGGCAATTTCCCAGAAAAATATGATTTAACAAAACTGACTCAGGAAGAAGGGGAAGCAGAATTCCCAACGTGGGGAGCTGTCCAAGTGTGGCGTGAGTGTCAAAAACACTCATTTATTCAACAATTGTGTATTAAGTCTCCACACCAGGCACTGTTGTAGAAAGCTGGCGATGCAGCAGTAAGTAAAATAATCAGAACTCCACACGCTATGTCCATTCTGTCCAGCAGAACTTTCTATGAAGATGGAGATGTTCTCTGTTGTCTCTGTCTGATAGGGTAGCCATTGGCCACATGTGGCTCTTAAGCTCTAGAAGCCTGACGTGGCCAGTGGTTATCTGGTAGCCAATAAGATCAATAACGTGTTAATGGCTTCCTAAAAGAGAATAAGCTGCTGAGCTCTGGGGACCCTGAGCTTTCCCGAAACAGCTCCTCAGTCTGAGGTGGGCAGTCCTGGTGGCCAAACAGCCACGTGACCCTCACTCCCCTGTTACTTGTAGAGCATTTTCACATGCTTCACCTCATCTCCTCACTCCCCTCTCGGGGCCTTCATTTAGCGAGTGCTTGCGCCGTCGTGGCCGGGCCCTGTGTCTGATATGCCACCACCGTGCTGGCTTCCGGGGTGTAGGAGGCACTCATCACCCACCAGGGAAGTCAGCGTGGAAGGCAGTGAGCACATCGGGCGAAGGGGCCGAGTCCTCCTGGGCCCTCCCTCTTCATCAGCGTTGCAGGGATGGGCGTGGTGAGTCCAGCCGCGTCAGCTGGGGGAGACGGGGCGGGCTTGGCGCGCAGAGCTGGACACAGGGAGCAGACTGGCCGGGAGGGCTGATGCGCTCCTTTGTGGTCCCCAGTCAAGAAGCTGAGGAAGTAAAACTAGAAAGTGTTAATATAAAAAAATTTAAAGAAAAAGTCTGTCTCTCAGAATTTTTTACAGAGGGGTGCCAAGTATCTTGGGCTCAAGAAGGAAAGCTAAAGTAGCCATGTGGATAGGGGAGAAAATGGATTCTAGAATCAGTATTTCTTCATAAACACCAAGCCCTTTGCTTCATCAAGGCCTCATCAATGCAAACAGAAAACGGGGCCGAGCTGCGCACAGAAGCCGGAGCGGGGGGCTGAGAGGGGAGGCCCCAGCAGGTCAGGAACATGGGCACTTTTCCGGCACAGCTCTCAAGGTGGTGAGATGGCAACTCTCTGGTGTCCCTGGAGCCCCTCCCTTCCGCAGCCTCCAGCCTGCAAAACCAGAGGCCGCTGACAGCCCCCCCACACTGGGACTCCCTGGAGAACTGCACCCACTGTCTCTCGGGAGATAATTCACGGGGTGGGTGACGCTCGTCTGGTGTGAGTCCTTATAGGGGGTCTTGTATGCTTCTGTTTTGCAGGGATGATAATGGTGATTCTGTTGCTGCTCGTGGCTATTGTGGTCGTTGCAGTCTGGCCTACTGACTAGTGGCCGTCCAGGGACCACCAGCCGGGACACCTGCCAGTGATGGAGTAAAGTTCAGCATCCTCTTGGTGCCTGAAAGCCACTCTCAATAAATTCCCCCAAAGCTCTGAACTCCTGACGTGCGTTGCTTCAGCAAAGGCAGATCGTGTGGCAGCTCCAGAGAGCTGCCGGGGTATTGGGCAGTGTGGCCCTTGTGGGTTCTGCCTTGGTCATTGGGCTGCTAGCCCAAGGTCCCTCAGTGGTCACTGCCCTGTGGCTGCTGATGGATTCCGGCCACCCCACAGCGTGCTGGGCACCCTGGGGGGACGATGCTGAATTCCTAGGCAGCTTGTGACCTCGAGTGTCTAGTCTGCTCGGGGAAGTCATGTGCCCATGTGGGAGACCAGTGAACAGACAAGGCCACGTGTGTCCAAGAGGGAGGAAGGAGTGACATGAGGAAGGAGAGACACGCAGGCACGTGTCTCTGGGCAACTGTCGCCCGCCCCACTGCCCAAGTCCCCCCCACAAGGCTCGCCACTCCTACTGGTGAAATAGCTCAGGAGTCTACTTTAGGAACTACCTTCAGACCTAGAAGCATGTTCTTGTTTCCTCCCTCGGTGTAGTAAACGCATCTTCCCCGGCTGAAACATCCCTACAAGCAGCCGGAATCAAGTCTGATGAATCTGATCAGGCAGGAAGGTACCGTTTAGGGTTCAGAGGAAGGTGTGATTGATTATGCAGGCAGGAGAACAGTACCTTTCACACGTGTGCACGTGCGTGATGGCAAGGGCAGACGCATGGGCTAGGCCTGCGAAGGGTGCCAGGCCCACGGGAGCGGCGGTGAGTCCGGGTTGGAAGGGGCAGAGGGCCAAGCTTCGTGCCATCCCTCCTGGCCAAGTGGAAGGCGGGCCGGGCCAGCGGGCCTTGCTTTGCCCTCCGTGGCTCCAGGGGAAAGAATTGGTGTTGGTGATGAAAAACTAGGGCAGTTTCCAAGCACAAGATTTCCCTGGAAGAGGAGAGATTGGGCAGCTGGGAGGGGAGTCCTGGGGGGTCTCCTGTGGATTTCCTAGAGACTGTGGGCGGCTGCTCTCCAGAAGCCATGACCTGATCCATCTCACCGCACCCTCCCTCCCCGGTGAGCCGAGATAGGCACCAGGAGGACCGCGCTGCAGCCTGGCGACCCGGAGACTCCAGCGCACAGGGAAGACCTGGCTCCAGACCCCAGGCCTCCATCAGGGGAGTCAAGGCTCTGTGCTCGGTCAGTTGTAAGTTGCCGCAAAGGCTGGGTGACCCTATTCCCAGCAGCTCCCCGCTAGAGGGGCCAGGTCACTACCAGGCCACCTGGGCAGCCCCGCTGCCACCTGGTGTGTGTGTGGCGGTGACACGCGTCACTCTTCCGGGAGGTGGTCTAGCCCTGGACTCCGCTCAGGGTCAGCTGGGACGGCGCTGCAGTCACAGTCACCCAGATCCGAACAACCTCGCTCCATCCCCAGCGTCGGTGCCTCCCTCCTGCTTCCGGTCCACGCAAGTCGGCTGGGGGCCCAGACCCGGGCTGCTGGGACAGCCACGCAGGCTGTGGCAGAAGAAAGGGGACTCTGGGAACGCTCTGCCCAGAAGGGAAGCCGTCGCCTCTGCTCGCAGCTCCCTGGCTGGACTCACCTGCCCTGCTCAGCGAGAGGAGCGGGAGGCACCCAGAGGCAGAGAGCCTGAACTAGGCAGTGCCGCCCGGTGACAGCCACGCCCCTCAACAGCAGTGCGAGCGCGAGCCAGATACCCTTCCGTGCCTCCGTTTCCTCCTCTAGAAAATGGAGAGAACACAGCTTCCTGCCTCGGGCTGACTGCGAGGGTCGGGTGAGCCAGCACGTGGCAGCACGGAGCACCCCGAGGGCCTCAGCTGACGGCGGGTTCTCCCTCTACCCCAAGCCTACAGCCGCCCCCCCCGCCCGGCCCAGGTGGCCTCCGCATCCAGGGCTCGAGGATCCTACCCCCTGCTTCCAACCCGGTGCCCGCTGACCTCCAGGGCTGCCAGCACGTGCAGAGCAGGCGAGGCCCTGGGAGCCGTGTTCAGACTGGCGGTGGCCCAGGGACGAGGGCAGGAGCGGGGCAGCCGTGAGCAGGAGACACGCTGTCGGGGGTCGGGACGGGGAAGCACAGGAGAGAACGGCGCGCGGAGGCAGGCTTGTGTCGGGAACCAAGACGCTGTGCTCCCGAAGGAGCCGGGCCGGGCCGGACGGGGGGCCAGGCGCCTCCGCACACTAAGGCGGCCTGGGAGGCACTTTCCGTGGGGGCAGGGCGGTTGCTAACGGATCCCCCAGTGGAAGATCAGGCATCCACAGAGCACATCGTTCAGTCTTGTGCCAAACCCCAAATCTGTATAAACAGCGTCTCCTTGGATCCCCCCACTTTGGGGCTCACGGGAGGGGGCACTGAAGGTCTGTTTGACTTTCTCACCTCCCCTTGCTCAGCATGGAGCCCCGGCAACTCGTGGGGGGTCTTTGAACCAGAGCCACGGCGGCCTGGCTCGGCCACACGGAAAGGCCTTTCCGAGCCCAACGCTCAGCCGATGTCGGCACACAGCGGCTTCTCTTCTTTTGACTGAGTGGGCTCTAGGCATGGCCCCGCCCTACCGAGCCGGGTGACCTGGACCAGTGACTTCACTTCTCTGGACCTGCAGGCAGGGGAGCGGGTAAGAAGCTGGTCGGGTGAGACCGTGAGGACCTGCCGTCCAGGCCTGGGGTGGTGCTGGGCAGGGAGGCTCCCCTTTTGGGGAGATACCCACCCGACTCTGAACTGAGGGGCAGCCCAAAATTGCCAAGGCATTCCGAGCGGCTGGGATGGGCCACTCGGGATCTGTTGTTGCATCAGGAGCCACCCTGGGGTCATGTGGCATTTTCCAGCTAGGTTTGGCCAGGCCTGGTTTCCCCCTTCAATGGCGTCAGGCCCAAGGTCCCAGGAGGCCGGCAGGGGTCTGGATCGGTGGTGTGAGCAGTTAGTTAGTGGTACCCCAAGCGTAGGGAAGAGAGGCATGACCCGTCACCTTGGGTGCGTTTTCGATGAAAGTAAACTTTATTAAAATAACGTCATAAGTACTGTTTAACTGAACTGATGATTAATTAGAAGCATTTAAAGTCTGGATACTATATAAAGAAATCCAGATACCTGGTTACGACGGGTACTTTTGTTCCACTGAAATGTCATTATAATTAATAACTGTAACCAAACCTTAGTTTTCATTAGCCCCAGGACACTCCGCTGCGCTCCCGGCAGAGCCCTGGACCCTCCTCGCATGGGGCTGCTGCAGGATTCCCGACTGTCCCTCTGCTCCAAGGACTGTCAGGTTCTCTCCTGACCAGTGCTCTGAGAACCACCAGCCGGCCTGTAGCCGGTACTCCTGCCTCTCCAGTTCCGGGCTTATACCGAGAGTTCTTTGTGTAGATTAGTGAAAGATCATCTTTTATCTAGTTGGGTTTTCTAGCCTAGCCCTGCTGAAGGTAAGTGCGGTTTTCCCCCCTTTATTTTGAAAAGTGGGCCAAGACTCGTCTTTCCTCTAATTGCTTCTTATGGCTTCAGAGTTCTCCCACCTCCATGCCAGTAACAGAAAGCATTCGCCTCTTTCCAGAAGTGACTTGCTGTCCTGTTGAGTCTCCAGTCTGATACAGTATTTGGATGGATTAACTTATTGCTTTATTTCTCACACTGGCTCTGTCCGTCCTTTTTTTTTTCTTTTTTTAAATAAATTTATTTTCATTTTTGGGTGCGTTGGGTCTTTGTTGCTGTGCACGGGCTTTCTCTAGCTGCGGCGAGCGGGGGCTACTCTTCTTTGCAGCTCACAGGCTTAGTTGCTCTGCGGCATGTGGGATCTTCCTGGACCAGGGCTCGAACCCCTGTCGCCTGTGCTGGCAGGCGGAGTCTTAACCACTGTGCCACCAGGGAAGTCCCTGTCCGTCCTTGCACGCCTAGTTTTTCTTGGCGTATTTCTTAAACGTCTTTATTTAGTCTCAAAAGAGTATAGACGGAGCTATCTGTTCAACAGAATCGGAAACCTAGGTGCGTCTCTGCCATGAGCCGGCAGCCCCCATCCCCAGGCGCTGTCTCGGGCCAGAGGGTAGGGATTTACGAATGCGGGAGCCTCCCCGAGGGCCAGCCGGACGCCGGGGAACTCTTCTCCAGCGGGGTGTCTGGATTTTTGACTGGACTCTGCTAGCCCCCG